GTGTGTGTGTGTGTGTGTGTGTGTGTGTGTGTGTGTGTGTGTGTGTGTGTGTGTGTGCGTGTGTGTATGTATATGTATATGTATATATATGAATGGAAAAACACTCTACCGTGTTGATACTATGGTAGAAAAACCCGCAATGCACAAACTAGATTTATTGATGAAAGTGACACAACAGTCTCGGAATCGTCCTCGATTCCATTCCCGAAGATGGAATCGAGGACGATTCCGAAACTGTTTGTCTCACTTTCTTCAATAAATTTAGTTTGTGCTTTGTGGGTTTTTCTACCATGTATATATATATATATGTGTATACATACATACATGCATATATATATATATATATATATATATATATATATATATATATATATATATATATATATATATATATATATATATATATATATATATATATATATATATATATATATATATATATATATATATATATATATATATATATATAATATATATATATATATATATATATATAATATATATATATATATATATATATATATATATATATATATATATATATATATATATATATATATATATATATATATATATTATATATATATATATATATATATATTATATATATATATATATATATATATATATATATATATATATATATATATATATATATATATATTATATATATATATATATGTGTGTGTGTTGTGTGTGTGTGTGTGTGTGTGTGTGTGTATATATATATAATTAATATATATATATATATATATTATATATATATATTATATATATATGTGTGTGTGTGTGTGTGTGTGTGGTGTGTGTGTGTGTGTGTGTGTGTGTGTGTGTGTGTGTGTGTGTGTTATGTGTGTGTGTGGTGTGTATATATATATGTAAATTAGTTGTTGCACTGTGGGTTTTTCTACCATGTATATATGTATATATATGTGTCTATCTATCTATCTATCTATCTATCTATCTATCTATTGGTCTGTCTATATAAGTATATATATATAGAAAAAAATATCTATACATATACCTACATATAAGAGTGAATGCGATACAGGAACCAAGCTTACAGGAGCGGCCGTCAGTCCCTGGAGGGCTGGCATCTGAATAATGGAATTCAAATTCGATTTTTTTTTCTTTTCTTTTTTACTTTAGGGAAGAGAAGGAGGAGGAAGAGAAATGTGTATATCTAATGAAAGGCGGTGATTAAATGGAAAGGATTAGGGGAAGAGGAAGGGGGAAAATGAGAAGGAGGAGGCAGAGAAGAAGAAGGGTGTGGAGGTGGGAGAGAAGAAGAAAAAGAAAGAGGAGGAGGAGGAGAGAGAGAAGAAGGAGGAAGAAGAGGAGGGAGATAAAAAGAAAAGGAAGAAGAAGGATGAAGAAAAGAAGGAGAAGGAGGAAGAGGAGGAGATGACGAGGAGGAGAGGAGGAAGAAAGTGGTAAAAGAATCAAGGAAGGAAAAGTAAGGGAAGCGAGATAAGGAAAAGAAGATTAGGGTGAAGGAGAGAGGAATTAAGAAGGGGTGGATAAGGGGAAAAGAAAGAAAATAGAGGAAGAGGAAAAGAAGAATGTGGATGGATAGGAAGAAGGAAGAAGAGGAGTAGAACCAGAGACAGGGAAAAAAGGAGGAAATAAAGGGAGAAAGCGAGAGAGGAAAGACGCAAAGATAAAGAGAGAGAGGAGAGTAGCGTGGTAAAAAGAGGGGCAAGACAGAAACAAGAAAGCAAAGGGTAAGAAGAGAAAAATATAATCAATGTGCTATAATAATGATATGGCGATATTAATGACACTAATAACAGCAACGATAATGATGATAAGGATAATGATACTGCTACTACTGGCACTACTATTAGTATGATTGTTAGTATCATTAGAATGATTGTTATCATCCCTGTTGCTGCTGCATTATTATTCATTAGTAGAAATAGAAGTAGTAAGTAGTTAGTGGTGGTGGTACAATNTATATATATATATATACATATACATATAAATAGGCAGTTAGAAAGGCAAACACATTCACATTCACAATCAAAATACATTGATTTAGGCAATTTTCGAAAGCAATATTGTTTCTTTGACCATGCATAAACCTTCCGAGAGAAGTTTCCACTTTGTGAATTAGAAACTCAAGAACGACATGAATGTGATTTAATCTTTTTTCAAAACACTGTTTCCCTGTCGCTTTTTCTAAATTGTGATTATTCATAATTTACAATAACTAGAGATGTTTATGTAGAAAGAGCATGAATGAGAATAGATATCTTCACAATACAAAAGATGTATTTGACCGGTTTCGTTTATGTCTTCGTCAGAAATATATGATGTTTAGAGATGTTTACTCGAGAAGGAAGGTGTCGAGGAAGCTCTGGCAGGCAACTGGCAGCCCCAGCTTGCTGCTTGACGTTTCACTCCCAGCTTGCAGCTCTGAATTCCTCAAACTGTTCTTGTTCTTGTCGAGAGCTTCACCTGCGATTCCCAGCATCACTCGTGAAAATGACAATAACAGATCATTAAACCCCTTTGTCTACTGACGACTTTTTACCATAGTTATATTCAGCAGAGGCAAATCTTTCGTAAGAAACTGTGAGCCAAGAAACTTGTCTCGTAAGATCCCCAAGGTCAATGACTTTCATTCCATATTTTGTGCAATGCCAAATGATTTTACTTCGCTTAGGCAACTTCAACCGGAGTAAAAGAGTAAACAGCACAAAAATACACTTGTTCACCCAGTACAAAAAATGCCTTAAATCCTGCACATGTAACTTCATATTAATAACTACAAACAAGAAATCTTTCCTGTTTCCCCGTACATGTCTTATCCTGTTTCCGTTGTTGTTCTGTTCTATTCTTGGCACACTATGCAACTTTAGTTCTTTTTCACGTGACAGAAGTGACACACTGACAACCACTGTGCACTCGCCTCCAGTCGGGTAAGCATTAGCTAAACATCGGCTGAGCAGCTACAAAAAAATCTTTAGTATAAGAAAAGTATTTAATGATACACCATAAGATCGGCTGATCAGCTACAAAAAAATCTTTAGTATAAGAAAAGTATTTAATGATACACCATAACATCGGCTGAGCAGCTACAAAAAAATCTTTAGTATAAGAAAAGTGTTTAATGATACACTATAACATCGACTGAGCAGCTACAAAAAATCTTTAATATAAGAAAAGTATTTAATGATACACTATAACATCGGCTGAGCAGCTACAAAAAAAAAAAAATCTTTAGTGTAAGAAAAGTATTTAATGATACACTATAACATCGGCTGAGCAGCTACAAAAAATCTTTAGTATAAGAAAAGTATTTAATGATACACTATAACATCGACTGAGCAGCTACTACTCTTCAATACAAGAAAAGTATTTAATGATATACTATAGAAACGGTAGGCAAGCATAGATGCCGAAATCTAGGCTGATGTAGACAGAAACGTTTATTTGTTAAACTGGTAATAATGCCTAAGTAATAATTAAGGGTAATAATGCCTAATAATGCCTAAGTCTAATGTGATATAGGCAGAAAGGTTTTAAGCGATTTTAGACTAAAGGTATAACGGTGGAAGTTATACCATTAGGTGCTTCAAAAGATAGAACTGATTTAGACCAAAAAAAAAAAAAAAAAATGCAAAACTTGGGCAGTTATTATTATTATTATTATCATCATCATCATCATCATCATTAATTGGATAGTCGACATTCAGGTATTTTAAAAATTGCAATTGTGACCAGTAGAGAAGAGAGGGAAACAGATAGTTAATTAGAGAAAGAGACGATAAGGGAGGGAAAGAGAGAGAGAGGGGGAGGGAGCAAAGGGAGAGAGAGGGTAGGTAGATAAAGAAGGAACAAGAAGGGGGAAAGAGAGAGAAAGAAAGGGAGAGGACTAGAGAAGGAAATGGGAGAGAAAAGAAAAGAGGGTTGTAGGAGAAAGAAGGAAAGGGGAGAGAAAGAGAAAGAAAAGAGGGAAAGAGAGAGAGGGAAGGGGGGAGAAAGGGAGAGAAGGAAGAAGGGAGAAAGAGATAACAGGGAGGGCAGGAAACGAGGAAGAAGGGGACAGCAAGAGAAAGTCCTCAGCTGACCCTCTCATTTCTGACCTCTTTCTCAGTTGACCTTATTTCTGATGTGTTACTTAGCTGTCCTCATTCCTCACCTTATTATCAGCTGACCTCTTATTCCTGACATGTTCCTTAGCAGACCTAATACCTGACCTGTTCCTCAGCTGACCTTATTCCTGACCTGTTCCTCAGCTGACCTTATTCCTGACCTGTTCCTCACCTGACCTAATACCTGACCTGTTCCTCAGCTGACCTTATTCCTGACCTGTTCCTCAGCTGACCTTATTCCTGACCTGTTCCTCAGCTGACCTTATTCCTGACCTGTTCCTCAGCTGACCTTGTTCCTGACCTGTTCCTCAAATGACCTAATACCTGACCTGTTCCTCAGCTGATCTTATTCCTGACCTGTTCCTCAGCTGACCTTGTTCTTGACCTGTCCCTCAAATTACCTAATACCTGACCTGTTCCTCAGTTGACCCTCTCACTCCTGACGTCTTTCTCAGTTTCTTCCTCTCATTCCTTGACTTGTTATAGCCTATTATTGACGCCGAAGTCAGGGTGTTAGCGTCGCATGGTGGTAACGCAGGGTAAACAACGAGGTCATAGGTCACTCAGGTCATTTGGTCCAGATGGCGCGGGGATTCCTGACCGAGGTTTGTGTCCGGAAAAAAAGATAAAGAGCTAGACCAGATAAGGAAAGACGGGTTAAAAGCAGCGCTCACATTGGTGTAATTACGTCTGAAAATCCCTCCGTTCTCAACCGTTTGATAAGAGTGCTAAAGCCTCTGTTTCAACAAACCTGCTTAAAAGAGACAAAAAAAAGATCCACGATTGGAAAAATTAACCTGCTTAAAAGAGACAAAAAAAGCCACGATTGGGAACGAATCTTTGACAAAAAGTGAATTCAGCTGAAGTTGAACTAATTGAACCCTCTTCTTTTCCCTTCCGCAGACATGGCCCCAGCAGGAAGAGCTTCGAGACAGCGGGTTTTCGTCGGTGCTGCGGTGCTGACGGCAGCTTTTATGCTTCTGGTGTATGTTAAGCCTCCGTCAGTCAGTGCAGATTGATACTCTGCATTGCGACTCTGCGTGTGTGTGTGTGGGGGGGGGGTGCGTGTGTGTGTGTGNTGTGTGTGTGTGTGTGTGTGTGTGTGTGTGTTGTGTGTGTGTGTGGTGTGTGTGTGTGTGTGTGTGTGTGTGTGTGTGTCGTGTGTGTGTGTGGTGTGTGTGTGTGTGTGCGTGTGTGTGTGTGTGTGTGTTGGCGTGGGTCGTCATCTAGGACAGCTACAGTTGCCCCATTCGGAAATTTTATCTTATTTATATAAAAAAAAGTATAAATATGTTTACCTACGTAACTACACGCATGTGCGCACACCCACATACACACATACGCACTCAAATGCAATCCTATTTATAGACAGCATGCATGTGGGAGTACATATAAACACGTACTTCCAGAACTATCCGACTGAAGCGACAGAGCGGTGATGACGTCATGAGCTCTCGAGAAATTATGAATGCCATAAAGAATGCTGTAAATTATGCAGTTGATAACAGTTTTATTTCCACAGCGAACGACGGTAAGGACCTGTATTTTGTGTACAGTTGAAGAATCATAACAGTTGTATATTGCTGATTTAGCATATCACCGAATTTTTATATAAGTGCAATATGCTTTTTATATATATGGCTGTAAATCTACCATTTCCTATAGGTCTTTCACTCAAAGGGATATATTTTGTGGGAAAGGAGGAGCTAGATTTTTTATATTTTCAGGAAAAATTGCGGTTAAGTGGGACCCAAACGGTAGGACTTATCGACTGTGGAAAGACAGTTCTTCTGCTAATTGCTCTCAGTACCAAACCAGGTGAGACAGACGTTCACAGTCGCTCGCAGAGGTAGATGTGTATATACATGTGCATTTCACTTACCCTCATCGACCATTATCAAATATTCCAGTTTCAAACCGATGCAGTAAGAGAGCCAAACGCTTACGGGTAATGTAAAGGAACATGTGTAGACTACAGAGTCGAATACAGGAGGAAGTTTTTGAACACAAGAGATCGTAATGAAATCGCAATAACAGTATTGAATGCCACAACATTCTTGTACGGTGGGCAGTAATGAACAGCCGACGCTAGCATAAGCATAATATTAGTAGCATGGACCCCAAAGACCCTATCAATCAATCAATGTTGACGGGGGAGCCACATTCACCCTTTCTGCTCCAAGGCTCCCAAGCTGGACCTCAGCCCACCTCCGTATCCTTGGGACAGGTCTGGTCAATTTGCCAAAGCCGTGACTTCCCAGCTGGTCTCACGGTCCTCCTCAAACCAAGATTCTCCAAGGAAGAGACAACTTTGATGGACAGTTATCCATGGAGAACCGAGCTAGGTGTTGTAAAGCCAGAGTTAGCAGTCCTAGATTGTGCAAGGAACAGGTCCTCTGCCGGCCTCATGGTGTAACAGTTGATCGGACTCCTGGTCCTGCCCACTTGTACCCAATAAAAGGCATCAAGACAAGACTTCAAGGCATGGGAAAGCATCCAGGCTTCACTTCCATGAAACAAAACGGGCAGTATCAGGGCATGAGATATAGGTAACACAGACCTTTTTCACATGTACTGCCTTGTCCAAGTACTCTTCATACTGTGGCCAAGGCACTAAGGCCAACCATCTACTGTCTGCCTAGAGTCATAAACTACACTGCCAAAATAAGTAAAGCTCACTGTAACCTCAGGTTCCTCACCTTAGGCATGAACCGATCATGTCGTACCAGACCCCTGAAGTTCAAAGTTCAAGAGACTTGAGACCTCGACTTGAGGGCTTTGTTCAATTGCTAAATGCACTAAGAGCCTCTACTAGAGTTTCCAGAGAGTCAGGAGAGCAACATCGAAAGTCGAAGTCGGTGACCTAAACATTACTTTTCACCCAGTAAATGCAAGTGTTGGTGTTGGTACGAGGACAGAGCCTTGCCTCCCTCCTGAATTAACAGGGAAGATGCTTGACAGGCCCCACCAGACTATTATTAGTATACAGACTTGTTATTGGTCCAAAAATCCTTGTCAGAATTGCTATGGATCTCAGGATCTCCTAAGGGGATTCATGATGCAATGAAACAACTTCTTAAGGTCAATGCAAGCTGCAACAGCATTCCAGAATGACTCAAAAGTGCCAGGATACAGTCAACTGGGGACTTGCCAGGAGTGAATCCAGATTGCTCTGGCTTCTGGTACCCTAGTAGGTGGTCACGGATCTGCCCTTGCCTCATATGCTGAGCAGTGTGATACCACATTAATTGCTGCAGTCCCTTACATTAAGGGAAGACCACACCCCTCAGCAGTTCCAGGGGTATGGTATCGTGCTACTAGATGACAACCAGGACAGCATTCAAGCCCGCCTTTCTCATGCTTTGGTAGGAAAGTTCCTGATGTACCAATCCTTGTCTCTTCTCAGATGTCTATTCAGCATACCAAGGATACCATTCAGTCAACATAAAATTGTTTCACATTGGAAAGAAAAGTTATAGGTCTGCAGGTTGCCAAGTGCTGCAAGTCGGTCAGAGATAACTGCAGCAACCTCTGGGACACGTTCAATTTGTCCAAGTGAAACCCCCTAGGATGGACACTGGAAAGATAGTGGATTTCAAAGTGGCAGCCATAACTAGCCTATGGTCGGTACCACACAACTCTACAATTTGGTAAACCCTTTAATTCTAGATCCTCTGTCCAGCGAAGCGGGTAGGAGTGCTGATACCAGGAGCTAGAAATCCTCAGTCCCTGGGACTAGCAAAGTACCAGGAGGCTATTCTCACTTCTGATATCATAAACATCAGACATCTCATAGCCAACTCGATCACAAATGTACCAAAGTGCCTTGGACAATATAAATTTCCCATCAGGGATAACCATCTGCTACAGATGTGAGTTTGACACAGAACACCTCTTTCACATCAAGTTTACAAACACTGGTAAGAATGTATACAGCAGTAAGAGACATGAAACCAAAAGCATGCTTAAGTCTCAGTGTTATTACTCGCTCAGCAATTGGAATAACCACACCTAAAGGCTGGAGTCTGCTCTAGATGGCAATGGCTACCTCCTAGAGATGATGACCATCGCTGACGTTGCCCCACATACGAGTAAGGGAGGGTAGCAGGCTGTAGGGGTTTTGACCCAAAGGCTTCGCACTGGGTTGATGGGTGCAGTGGCGCATTTGGGGCGAGTAACCTCTACTCCCAACGCAAGTCCAAGCAGTCTACTTCCATTGACGAGAGAGTAAGAAATAAAAGACATCTACCTATATAATAAATATCTACACACAAAACAAAGCACAGATAAACACATACACACACACGCAACAGGACCTACTACCCGCCACACTCATTGGGTGGGAGGGGCAATACCCCTCCCCTCACAGCACATTCATAAGAGCACTGCCGGTGTGGTCTTCCTTTGGGAAGGTGGACGGGGAAGGCTCCCAAGAGCGATCTATTAACCCCAGGGGGCTATGGGGCTGTGCCATGCCTCCTCTTGAGCCACCTGCTGCTCCGAGATCCCCACAGTTTACCCTGGGACTGCAAGGTGCCCAGTTCTATGGATGGCCAAGAGGAGGCACTGCAGAAGTTTCGATGGGGGAGAGGCTATGAATTGGCATGGGGCTCTTATGCAGAACTGCTCCCTTTTTGCACTAAACTAAACAGCAGTGGCAGCTGCAAGCGAGAAAGCATGCGAGCAAGACACTTCATACTAGTTAAATTACCACAACATCGCTTCACATCATCCTGAGCATACATAAAGATATAATAATGGTACTAAATAAAGGTATGATAACAATCAAGATAAGATAACAATGAAATGCTAGGAACTAATTATAAAAAGGAAGATTATGGCCATTTGATGAACAGGAAAAATCACACACGAAAGCTAATAGCATCTCTGAATACCACACAGATTTGCCTTGGGATTGCCGAGGACGTACCTGGTCTCCTTTCCCGGTTCTGGCAACACCTGGACGAGGTATCTGCTGGAGGCTGCGTCGGGGATCTTCACTGGCGCTGTCTACAACGATAAAGTGCTCAGACAATCTGGTGAGTTTCGTTTCATAAGTTGATACAAGAGATGTATTTTTACATCTCTTATATTGTGAAAATATTCTGAATCGTGCCTTTTCTACGTATATATCTATGTATTCATTACGTGCGTGTGTGTAATTGTGTGTAAATAAACACATGAGAATATATGAATGTATATATATATATATATATATATATATATATATATATATAATATATATATATATATATATATATATCCATATCTATATATATCTATAGATCTATCTATTTACATATCTATATAGTGAATGTATATATAGATGTGTATGTATACATATACATACACATTTGTATTGTTGGTGTCCTCCTCCTCCCTCTCCCCCCCTCCACCTCCTCCCTCTCCTCCCAATCCACTCCCCCCTCCACCTCCCCTCCCCTCCCTCCCCACCCACCTCCCCGACAGGCTACCTCGGGGAAGCCGACGCCCCGACAGCGGCCGAACCCTCGTCCAGAAGACCCACGGCAAGGCCTTCTACAGGAGGAGAAGCACCATGAAGGAGCGATACGAGGTGATAAGGGCGGATCTTCCTTGCATCCTTATCATCAGGAACCCGGCGAGGTAGGAGACAGAGAGATAGGAGAGGAGGGAAATAGATAGGAGAGGAGATAGAGAGATAGGAGAGGAGATGGAGAGATAGGAGAGGGGATAGAGAGATAGGAGAGAGAGGAAATAGATAGGAGAGGAAAGAGATAGGAGAGGAGATAGAGAGATAGGAGAGGGGATAGAGAGATAGGAGAGGAGAGGAAATAGATAGGAGAGGAGATAGAGAGATAGGAGAGGAGAGGAAATAGATAGGAGAGGGGATAGAGAGATAGGAGAGGAGATAGAGAGATAGGAGAGGGGATAGAGAGATAGGAGAGGAGATAGAGAGATAGGAGAGGGGATAGAGAGATAGGAGAGGAGAGGAAATAGATAGGAGAGGAGATAGAGAGATAGGAGAGGGGATAGAGAGATAGGAGAGGAGACAGAGAGATAGGAGAGGAGACAGAGAGATAGGAGAGGGGATAGAGAGATAGGAGAGGAGAGGAAATAGATAGAAGAGGAGATAGAGAGATAGGAGAGGAGATAGAGAGATAGGAGAGGAGATAGAGAGATAGGAGAGGAGATAGATAGGAGAGGAGATAGAGAGATAGGAGAGGAGATAGAGGTAGAAGAGAGATCAGAAACACGGCGAGGTGGGGGTTTGAGGGGAGGGGGAGGGAAAGGGGGAGAGGAGGAGGAAAAGGGAAGTTGGGATTTGTGGAGGGAAGAGAAGGGAGGAGAGGGGAAAGGGGAGGTGGGGAGAGAGGGAAAGGAGAGGGGAGGTAGGGCTTTGTGGAAGGAAGAGAGGGAAGGAGAGGGGAGGTGGGGAAAGAGGGGAGGGGGAGATAGAGGAGGGAAAGGGGAAGGGAAGGAAAGAGGGGAGAGGAGGAGGGAGAAGGAAAGTTGGGATTTGTGGAGGGAAGAGAGGGAAAGGGGGAGAGGGGAATTTGGAATTTGTGGAGGAAAGACGGAGAAAGTTGAGATTTTTGGAGGGGAGAGAGGAAGGAGGAGGAGGGACAGGGGAGGTTGGGAATTTTGGAGTGGAAGGAGGGGAGAGAGGGGGGAAGAAGAGCGGGCATGGTATAAGGGGAAAAGAGGAGGAAAGAGGGGCGAGCAGATAGGGGAAAGGAGGGGGGGAAGGGGGAAGGTGATGGGAAAGAGGGAGAGAGAAGTAGGATTGGGAAGGAGAGGGGAGGTGGAGAAAAGGGGAAGGAGAGAGAGAAGAAGAGAGAAGGGGATTGGGAAGGAGAGAGAGAGAAGAGAGAAGGGGGATTGGGAAGGAGAGGGGAGGTGGAGAAATGGGGAAAGAGAGAGAGAGAAGAGAGAAGTAGGATTGGGAAGGAGAGGGGAGGTGGAGAAAAAGGGGAAGGAGAGAGAAGAAGAGAGAAGTAGGATTGGGAAGGAGAGGGAGGTGGAGAAGGGGGAAGGAGAGAGAGAAGAAGAGAGAAGGAGGACTTGCAAGGAGAGGGGGGAGGGGGAAGGAGAGAAAAGGGGGGAAGTGAGAAGGGAAGTGAAAGGGAGAGAGAAAGAGAGGAAGTGAAGGAAAGAAGGGAAAGAGAATGTGAGAGGGAAGGAGAGAGGAGGAGAAGGAAGATTGTTATATTTTTATGACAATATATTAATGGTGATGACAATGACAGTAATAGTCTTCATCACCATTATCATAATAATCATCATTATTATTATTACCATAGTTATATTTATCATCATTATCATTATCACTATCATTATTATTGTTGTTAACACTATCAAAATTATTATTGTTACAATTATCGTTATCATTATTATTATCATCATTATTGTTATCATTATTATTATCATCGTTATCAATATCATTGTTATCATTATCATCATCATTATTATTGTTTTCATCAGTGATATTATCTTCTTACTATTATTATCATCATCCTTTTTATTGTGGTTGTTATCGTTACTATTGCTATTATTTTTTCTGATCATTATTATCATTATTTTTATCATCATTATTATTAGTAGTAGTGTTAGTATAAATATTAGTATTGAATTATTATTAGTAGTATTATCATTATTATTATTATTATTGTTGTTATTAACATTGTTGTCATTATCATTATCATTGTTTTTGTCATTAATATCGTTATTATCATCATTGTTATTACCATTATCATCATAATCATTGTTAGCAATTTTATTGGTATCAGTCTCATTATAATTATCACGCATATAAGATCATTCTTTTAACAGTAGTACTATATAATTATCATCATTTTACTATCATTGTTGTTATTATCATCATAATTATTACAATCATTTAATATTACCATCATTACCAATATTATTATTATTGTTGTTAGCATTATCATTATTATTATCATCATTATCATCATCACTATTGTTATTATTATTATTAACATTACCATGATTGTTAATATTATCATTATCATTTTTACTATTATCATTATCACTATTATTGTCATTATTGCCTCCTCCGTGGAAGTTATGTTTATGGTAGCATTAGTTAGTTTGTTGTTTGTTGGTTGGTTAGCAAGATAACTCAATAAGATATTATGTTTAAAAGATATTTACCTGATATTATATTATATTAAGATATTATATTTATCATTATCATTACCGGTATCTTTATCACCTACTTTATCGTTGTCAAATATATCAGTCATTATCATAACCATCATTATTTCTATTTCCGCAAAAAAAATACCGTTATTACTATTATTATCATAATCATCATTATTATTTCATTACCACAAAAATTATCGTTATTACTATCATTATAATGTGTATCATTATTTCCATCGTTACCGCAATTATTATCACAAACACTATCATCATCATCAATTATCATCATCACAATCATCATCATTGATTATCATTAACTCTGTCATCATCATCAATTATCATTATCACAATCATCATCAATTATCATTATCCCAATCATCATCATTGATTATCATCAACACCATCATCATCATCAATTATAATTATCCCAATCATCATCATCATCGATTATCATTAACCCTATCATCATCACCAACAATTATCATTATCACTCTCATCACCATTATCAATATCGTCAACATTATCATTATCACTCTTCTGATTATTACAATTATCTCATTTTTCTTCCAGAGCTTTAATAGCCTATTGGAAGTTCATTCAGATCCACACGAGAGACAGACAGATAGCACAGTTGGATGAAAAAAAATTCAAGACGGAAGGTAATATTTGTCACGAAATGATTTTGACTTTTAATGAATCTTGGGAAAATTCGGGTATTTTTTTTTTTTTTTTTTTGTGGGTTTCATGGGTATTTGTGATGCTTAATCCGAGATAATTCGTTGGAATAATTATGATCAATCTCTCTCTCTCTCTCGCTCGCTCTCTCTCTCTCTCTCTCTATCTATCTATCTATCTATCTATCGGTCTTGCTCCCTCTCATCTCTCTCTCTCTCTCTCTTCCTCTCGCTCTCGCTCTCGTCTCTCGTCTCTCGCTCTCTCGCTCTCTTCGCCTCCTCGCTCTCGCTCTCTCTCTCTCTCTCTCTCTCTCTCTTCTCTCTCTCTCTCTCTCTCTCCGCTCTCTCTCTCTTCTCTCTCTCTCGCTCTCTC